TGGTCTCACAGAGGAGCCTCTGTCCCTTGAGTAACTTTGAGCCTCTGGTTTGCAATCCATGTGGTCCTAAGGTAGTGGGTCTGAATGCTGACCACACATTAGAACCACCAGGGGGAGCTTTCAAAAAGTGCCCCTGCTCAAAACCAGCTTGTCTAGACAGACATCTGTAAAAAAAAAAAAAAAAAAAAAAGGAGGGGGTGAGAATTTAACAAAGGGAAATGAAAACAAAGGACATGTACAAAGCACAATACTAGCTTTATTCATGATGGCAAAAAATGGAAACAGGACAATGGGAAAATATGGTTGGTTACTGGGAAGAGGCTGAAGGGAATTTCTAGAATGCTGGAAACGTTTATCTTGATCTATGCTGAGTGGTGTGTATGTGTGTGTGTGTATCTATCTGTGAAAATAGGTGTGTGTGTGTATGTCTTTAAGATATACACTAAAGATTAGCTTACTGTCCACATCATATATGTTTTATGCCTTGATTAAAAAGTAAAATATAGAATATCAATGCTCTGGCCCTAGTCCAGAGATTGTAATTTAGTTAGATATTCTCCACGTCCCCTGATGATTCCCTTGTGCAGTCAGGGTTGGAAAGCACTGTCTTCAAGAACAGGGCCAACCCAGGTACGTGCCTAAGGTTGGAGGGGCAAAAGTGGGCCGCCAGCTCACGTATGGGCCAACTCACCAGGGTTTACCACAGCGAGCACTTGTTTTGAGTATCCTTTGCACACACACCCTTTGGGGACTGGTGGTGGTCCTTGGCTGGCCAGGGGTCTTCCCATCGATTTTGTCAGCATGTGGTAGAGCTCAGCAGAGAGGAGCTTGGGATCTGGGGACGGTCTCCCCTGGTCCTAGGGTTGTGAGTATGGCCACATGTGCTGTGGGCAGAACCTTAAAAGGAGAGAGCAAGGGTCTAGTATTGGGGGAGAATCTGGCAAGTGGAACCTGAGACTGGCAGGGGCAGGTATCCACGGCTCGGGTGGGGATGGGGACGGGCTCTCTCAGAACCCTCCAACCAAGAGAGCACCACTCTTCTTGTGAAGGGGAACAGCTCCCGCATTGGGACAATACTTGCTGACCCAGCTCTCACATTGATTCTGAGGGCCAGCTTGGGCTTAAAAACACTTGAAGTTTGGGTTGGCAGAAAGTACCCCCAGCACCTTTTCCCTTCCTTCTTCCATTTCTTGGCCAAGGCTGAAAGGTTGGCATGCTGCCCAGCTTTGGTTATGATCCTGGAATTGGGGAATTCAGGGGGTGGATTAAAACAGCCAGGTGGTAGATTCATCAATGAACAAAGGGGAGATCAAAGGATTAAAAATACATAGTGGGTGTATTGTCTTCCTGGACAGAAGTGAAGGGGAAATCTTCATGTAACTGCCACAAACCCAGAGCCAAGGAATAAAATTAAAATGAAATGTTCAATCCCTTGAATACTGTTTCTAGGAATCATATTGCTCATTAGCTGTGGAAGAAATGTAATCACAGCAGTAAGGAAAAAAATCAACTTCAGTAATTTATGTGCAGATGGAAAATGTTGATGGTGGGTCAGTTGGGTCTTTCTAAACAATAAGGAGGAGACCTAAAGGAATGTTCATGCAAAGTAGGGATAACCAATGCCTGGAAGGCTGGGGCAGGGTTAGGTGTTAAGAAGCAGAGTATTTAGAAAAAGTCATAGGGTTCTCTCTGGCCTTCAGATAGAAGTACCAATTTCACCACTGACAGTTTTCAAGTCAAAAATATTTTGAAAGGATTTCCTAGCTATGATATAGAAATAAATGAAGGGAAGGAATCAGAAGGAAGCAGTCTAACATAGTAGTGTTAAAAGATAAACTGAGGCATAGTAAACATTTAGAGTTTATTTGAGCAAAAATCGATTCAGACCAGTTAGCCCCAAACTAAAGGTGGTTAGGGGTGCCCCACCAACAGGAGGAGCTCAGGGAGAGACTTTGGTACAGCAGACAGGGAAGCAAAGTGAGGAAATTATTGATTGGCAATAGCCCAACGCCTAGTTGGTTGTGTGTGACTGGTTGTCCTTAGGTTTCAATTTTGTAACCTGAGGCATTACGGGTGGATTTGGTTTGCTTCTCTTACAAAGGGGGTGGCAGGGCATACACGTGCAAAGATGGCTCCTGCCTATGTGCACAGGCCCCAGCGGGGCCAGCAGAGAGTAGATGAGACTGGGACACCTGGTAAAGAGAGGTGGACCTCTGATGCAGAGGGGGTGGGAGGGCTGGAGCTAGGGGAGGGAGTCCCTCATCTGCAGGAGCCTGTGGGGCCCCCACCTGTCCACACCAAGCCTACAGACCATGAGCTAGGTCACCGTAGACAGCCAAGGGAAGAGAGACCCAAAAGACAACACAGCCAATCACATAAAGAGCCTTCTGTGCTCTCTGTGCCTTCCACCCTGATGCCGAATGGCTGTACCCTCATAATGAGAGAGGGCTGTATGAACAAGGAGACCATGCCCCCCAACGCTGGCCTTAAAGGTATGTGCTCCCCGGCTGTGCTGGGACAGGGAGGGAGGTTGGTGGGGTCTAACTTGAGTGAGAGGTAAGACCTGGGATGAAAAGTTAGGGAATCAGGCTGAGGTGGCATGAGGGGAGGCTGCCTCCTAGTGGGGATGTAGCAGAATTGCCAGCGAATGCCAAGGACCCTCCTGTCCTGGCTCCTGCCCCCAGGAGCTATTGTCCCCTCATGTCTAACTCAGCCAGGGTCATGTCTCCCAATGGCAATGCTGAGACTGGAGCCTGGAAGACTGAAGCCTGTCACCAGCAGCCACATCGGGGTGTCCTCTCTGTGGTTGGAAGGCTAGGAGGCCCGATGCGGGACTCACAGTGTGAGCTGGTTGGTCTCTAGTTCCCGAGAACCTTCCTCTGCTAGCACCGTGGAGAAGAGGTTAGCTCCAGTCCTGCCCAGCACAGGAGAGAGGTTGTCAGAGCTGTGGGTGGTGTGACAGCCCAGACTAAGCTGAACCCTTTGCCCGAGGAGGTGTGCCAGCCCATGTGGTTGGTAGATGCATGAGTGTGATTGAGCAACTGAGGGATGGTTCTGGTCCAATGCTCTTGGCAGAAGCAGCCTTGTGGGAAGAGGAAGGATTCCAAACCAGCCCTGCTCTTGCCCTCCCTCCCTTCAAGTTCTCTGAGGGGAACACCTGATCCTCAGACCCACCCCCAGCATGAGAACAGCTCAGTCCCAGGGAAGGTCAGGCTTCTGGGGGCAAAGGTGTCTTCCTGTCAGGTCAGCCTCGATGGCAGGCAGGCAGTTGGCTCTGACCTGAACTTGCTGACACTGACCTGGCCTGTTCTTGGCTGAAAAGTTTTTCCACTCGGGCATTGCCTCTTGGACTCTGGCCTTTTATTATTATTACTGTTGTTGTCGTTGTTATTTTTATTTATTTATTTGAGCGCAGGGGAGGGGCAGAGGGAGAGGGAGAGAGAGAGAATCTTAAGCAGACTCCCCGCTGACCATAGAGCCAAACCCAGGACTCAATCTCACGACACTGAGATCATGACCTGAGCTGAATCAAGAGTCGGACGCTTAACTGACTGAGCCACCCAGGCGCCCCAGACTCTGGCCTTTTAAACCCATCCTCAAGAAAAAGCAACTTCAGACTGAGGAATGTGGATCTAGAAAAGGGATTTGTGGAAGGCTAGTCAGGGCAGTGACCTGGGCCACATCTTGCCTCTCAAGGTCTGTGACTCCCCAGCACCCTGGCTCTCCTTTTCTCCCCAGTCAGGGTCCTGCTCTTCAGTGTCCTTCACTGCCCCTCCTCCCTCTTCCCCACCTCTCCTAAAGGATTGGAAAAATCCTTAGAGATTTTTCAAGTAAGGAAATTACGCATTTTCAGGACTCATTCTGGACCCTGCCTTCTTTCTATACTATGTATAGGTCAGCTGGTATGCCCTCGTCCTGTTCAGTACCTCCACGCACTCATGCCACTTAAATTCATGTCCAGCCCAGACCTATGGTCTCATTTATCCACTGGCCCATTCGATATCTTCATTTGTGTGTCTCACGAACATCTCAAACTCAGGATCCCTCAAACTGAACTTCTAATCTTCCTTCAGTAAATCCTAATGACTCTAGCTCCAAGATACATATCCAGTGTATCCACTTTTTCCCCATCTCTTCGGCTCCTACTCTTGCTTGACCAGCATCTTTCCCACTGAACTTGCCTTGGCCATTTTTTCCCTGGTGTTGCCTCTTAATGTGTCTCAACTCATTCTCCAAAGAACAACCAGAGTAATCTGGTTAAACTGCACATTAAATCATTTTGGTCTCGTGTGTAAATCTCTTGATGGCTACTTACTGTGTTCAGAATGAAATCGAATGCTGTGCTATAACCCGGCCCCCAACAGCCACATCGGGGTGTCCTCTCTGTGGTTGGAAGGCTATCTGCCCCTGCTAGCCATTAGTGCCGTTCCCCTGTGCCTTCCATTTCTTCTCTCCTTCCAGGCACACGGGATGACTGCACACCCTTGAAGTGAAGACAGGACCACAAGACTTGCTTCGGGCGATGAAACGTAAGTAGAAGTGATTCGAAAGCCAGAGTGCGTGACTGTTAGCGCACTTTCTTCTCCTGCTACAGTGATTAGGGAAACCAGTGTTGATACCGTAGGTGCCACGAGATGGAAGCAGCCTGAGATCCTGGCAGTACATGCAGAAGAGCTGCCCTGGGAAGTCCGCCAAAATCCACGTGGACTTTTCATCAGTGAAGAAAAGCTCCTGTTGCGAGCTTGGAGGGTCTGTTTCTGCAGCAAAACATAGCCCATCCTGACTGATACGTTGTAGAAAGAGGGGTTATTTGTGGCAGTCCTCTTTACAACAAAGCAAAGGACAAAGGGTTTTCAGAAAATGTCCTTGTTTTTCATTAGACTAGAAAAAAATTAACAATGGCTCTCACTGATTATTCACAGAAGGAATTGCAACAAATCCCCAAATTGGAGTGGATTTCTGGGTGATCCAAGAAGCAGGCACATATGTATTTTTGCCAGGTAATGACACACCTAGTTAACCACTCTGGGTGTAGACGGGCAAAACTGGATCACCATTGGGGAAAAAAGAGGAAAATACAAGTGAAACTCTACAGAGAGATTGTCTGATGTGAGGGAAAGGCACCTTCGGTGTGGTTAAATATCATTTAAAGGTTAAACATTAACCAGGAAAGACCTACTTTCTTCCCATCACCCAGGCAGTAACACCTGCTTCACTTTGTCTTAAGTTTAACATATCCCAGGAAGGATCTGAATGCTTCAAATTTGGCTGAAAAGGAAGGAGTTTGTGGGAGATACATATTTTCCAAGCAGGAGTATTTCCTTGTCTCCTGCTCAGGCTCCTCTTAACCATATATCTTCAATGACCGGCAGTGTTTAATAAGAACTTAATTAGGAGAGAGTGAGAGAAAGGGAGGGAGGGTGAGAAAACAGACAAACGGGATGGATGGATGGAAGGGAGGAAAGGAGGAAGGAAGGGGAGATGAGAGGGAAGGAGGGAGGAAATACACCTGTAATGACATTGGAACGTGCAGTCTCAGGGAAGGGGAAGAGATGACCACCCTTCCTGAACACCCCTTAAACACACAAAACAGTAGGGTTTTGTTTTTTATTTAAACCCACAGTGACCATACTTTGGGAGCCTCAGTTGAAATGGTATGGTCACTACCAATGAATGTAGTGACTTCTCAGTGAGCTGGCCTCCAGACACAGTAACCAGAAAAAGGCAATTCTCAGAGCTCATCTCCAGATCATGTGAGAAATCATCAGAAGACATTGAGAACAAGACTGCCCACACCCATTGGCTCCAGGGCCCTGCTGAGGCATTCCTTTGGCTAGGGTGCCGGTGTTATGCTTCAAACTTCCCATTTCTAGGGACGGAGATGTCCTACTGGAGCTCTCCAAGGAACGGGCATCTAGGGCTCCATCGTCATGTCTTTATATACAAGCACAGTCGGGCCACATTGATCAGACAGCACTCTTTCATCCTAGACCGTGTGAGATCTGGCCTAGCCAATCTCTTCTCTTTTGAAGGACGAGACTGTGCGTCCACCATGAAGTTCAAAATCCCTACAACTGAGTCAGTCCCGTTCTTGCTCATAGGTAGAGGCCCGAGTCGTGGCTCCACCTCCTGGGTTCTTTGATGAGGCCATTGATGGTTTCAACAGATATTTGGCTGAGGAGAAGACTTCAGGCTGGGCCATACAATCCCAGGTTCCTGGCAGTTTGAGAGATCCGGGGAGTCTTCCTCTGGGGAAATGGATAGTGAGCTGGTTTTCCAGACCAGTGTGGGTTCTTTCTGGAAGGAGGAAGCTGAATGTCCTTATTTAAGCCAGATCCCACTGCGTTTATTTTGGCATTGCCCACCGGACGTTCACGCTGGGCTGTTTGTAGGATGGTGGTCCCTTGCCGAGTCATCTGATTGTTTTCAAACAAGCCTGGGTCTCCTTCCTGAGGGAGCCTTTGCTCAGACCCCGTGAGCTTGTCCTTGTGTTTTACTGGAAGACTGGCTTCCTGGTGGAAGGTTTGGATACAGCGGTACATCTCTAGGTGTGTGTGCCATGGAGACTCAGGGGCCTGGAGACAGCCTCCGTCAGCCTCCTCCAGCATCCCCTCTGCCTCCGGATCTGCCTCCTCCAGGGACAGCGAATGCCTTCTCTCCTTGTTAATCCAAACAGGACTGACCATGGACTCAGCAGGAACAGGCGTGTACCCTCCTGACAAAGCAAGGCACAGCAGGGTCACCACTGGAACGAACAGGGGCAGCTCTCATTTGGGGGGTCTCAGAGCTTTCGAGCCGTAGGAATGCTATCCCAAAATGTCAAGGAAGCGAGGTAGTCAGAACACTTCATGTCTGCACACACGCATACATGGATCACACGTGATCGCACTTGCATATGCTCACACGTGTATACTCCCTCCCATGTCCACACATTCACACCCACACAAACGCTCTCTAACATACACACTCATGCACAAGTATTCATTCATTCGCCAAGTATTTATTGAGCACTTATTACATGCCAGCCTTTATTTATTCTAGGTTCTGGGACTATGGCAGCAAACATTGAGACAAAAATCCCCATCTTCACAGATATGTTCTAGTGGGGTAGAAAGACGTAAGCCAACAAATATATTATAATAAAATTGCAGGTGGAAACCAATGCTATAAAGAAAAACTCAAGCAGAACAGAGTTTACTAATAGACTCCACCTCTTAACTGCAGTGAGGAAGTGACCCCAGCGTTCTGACTGAAAGAATGGGACGGACTCACATGCACACTGGCCAGGGGAAAGGAGTACTCTTCACTTACGGGGTTTTGTGTTCTGGGGTTCCCGTAATGGGTTTACTGCCCAGGGTGGAGGAGGGAGGAGCTGTATTTCAAAGCAGCGACTTTTGGAGGACTGGCCCCTCGCCTTCTCCCATCCCACAGACCCTGTTCTGGGAACACATTTACAGCACCTCCTGCTTCTCCGAACTGGCTGCAGGGATGAGGACCCAGACCAGTGTCTCTCTTCTTTCTCAGGGACCTGTTTTTACCACCTTGTGGCACACGACAGTTTATGGTCAACCTTGGTGGCAGAGAGGGTTGTGGGAATGCCTGAAAGGTGTTCCAAAGCCTGCAGTTAGTTGCCTCTGAATCCTCAGTGGAGCTCCCCTGAGCATTCTGGCATTTGTCACAGCGGGAGGCCCTGCATGCAGGAGGGGAGAGACGGAGGTGCTGAGGTATGAAGGCAGAGGGAAGGCCCTGAGCTCCGGGTCTGGGAGTCTGAGAGAAGCAGGACTGGTGCGGCCATCTCTGCCAACAGTGGAGGGCCTGAAAATGTGTTCCCACTTCAGGACTACCAGATTTTTCTAAGCATGACAAACATGGACACTCTCACAAAAAGTCAAAATGTTATGTGCTTATTTGAGAACAGAGGAAGAGGGGACGTGATGGGAGAACATAGGAACTAGTATCCTCTCCATTATGTCCATGTGGATGGGCAGGTCTTGGTTGGAGAGAGGAGCCTCCTTAGCTGTCAGTCCCAGCTTGGGGTCCGCAGGGGACAAGGAGAAAGACAAAGTGGGAGGGACACCTGGACCCCGACCCCCACATAGATACTGCTGAGTGGCTGACCTCGCCTGGGAGTCAGAAGTCTTCCCTGACAAAGCAGTGTCTGACCAGCCCTTCCGGCATTAACTTGCCTTAACTGACCACCTGATGCTAGCTAGCGGGGGGCAGCGCACTGAGTTACAGAGTGTGGGAGAAAGAGCCAGAGGGAGGGTTGGGGCATGTCGACTTGGACTGTCTTTGGGATGTGCCCATACATGGATCTGTAAGTCTGAATTGTGGGTCTGTTAAGCATCGTACTTGCATTAGATAGTGGTTTAATTTAATATTTGCTGAATGACTGAATGAATAAATACGTTTGAGGATGGACTAGGGCTTTAGGAACCTTTCAGTGTATACCCTGCAGAGATGGAGGGCTATTTGGCTGTGCCAGTTCAGTTCAAACAGAACCCACTGGCTGGCAACAGCCCAAGTAATGGGAGATGAGCACCTTCAGCTCCGGGATACCACTTTGGTCTCCAAAAGGCAGCACTCTTCCTGCCCCGGATGGTGATGTCCCTCTGGCCCCTGATTCCTTCCCAGCTGGCCTAGTGCTGGGCGGGCTACTCCATGAGTCCTGAAGTGTACAAATAACCACAGAAACCCCCAGGCACAGCCTTGATCTTCCCACCTCCCTTGACCCATTCATTCCTCCGTTAGAGGGAAGGGCTGGGATGGAGCCTTATGCTAACTTCCTCCAGGAATAAAATCTGAGTTCCCAGAGGGAAGAGGCATTCTCCCTTTGAGGCTTCTGTATCTCACGCCTCCTTGGAAGTTGCTTGAGACGGTGATAAGCAAGCTCCGTGAGCCAGGGTGCCTCCTGAGTCCCTGAGTCCCTGAGCCCCGCTCTTCCTCTGGCCCGCTCCAGGGCTGTCGGGAACACCACATCGGCTCTCTCCAGAGCCCGTTTCTCAGCTTTGCAGGAGGTGAGACCCAGCGGGGAAGAGCTCCCATCGCCCCACCTGGCCCAGCAGGGGGCCAAACCACCGTCCACCAGGCAGAACAGTCTGGTCAGGTGAGAACATAAGAGCTGAGGCCAGGTACGGCCGGCAGCTGGCCAGAAGCCTGCCTGAGGCCCCTGGAGGGGAACCAAGCCAAGCACAGCGGCCCGGAACGGGCCTCCCCGCCCTGCTCTGCTGCCATCCCTGCTCTTTCCCACCGGGAGGGCCCACAGAGCCCTGGCCCCACCCTGGCCGCAGCCCACCACCCATTGCGCCCACGGCCAGGCACCCCCCCCACTTTTGCCCCCAGCACCTGCCCAACCCTACCTTTCGGGAGCACCACCAGGTGGGCCTGGGCCATCTGCTGCCTTCGCAAGCCTGCGTACTGGGCTCGCAGGACCTGGATGCTGAGCGGGGGCTCTTTCCCCGGGGTCTGCGTCCCGAAGCCCTCAGCCATGAAGCAAGACCCCAGCTGCAGGAAATGCGGCCCGGCAGGGCAGGGGCAGGGCAAGCCCTTCATCAGGATCCGGGAGAAAAGCAAACAGTGATGGGCGGGGGCGTGGGAGGGGCGAGAAGGAGCTGCGGGGGGAGGGGGGAGGGGGGAGTGAGGGGGGCAGGTGGAAAGGTAAGGGGAAAATGAGGGGGAGGAAAAGGTAAGGGGAGTGAAGGAAGGTGGAGGGGAAGGCAGGGCTAAGTGGAAAGTAGGGGAAGGAGTGAAGCTATGGCAGGGGGAGGAAGACAGGTGAGGGGAAAACGAGGTGGGGAGTCATGAATGAGGAGGGGAAAGGCAGGAGAGGGGAAGCGGGGAGGAGCAGGAAGAGTCAGAGGGAGGAGGAAGATTGGGGAGCAGGACAAAAGGAGTCCCCAAGAGGGAAGGAAGGAACAGAGGAGGAAGGTGGTAGGGCAAAGGGGGCTAACAGGATGAGAGAGGAGGGAGGAGATCAGGGCAGGTGTAGGCAGGGGGAAGGAGGGACCTGGAGGGAGGGACTGAGGGGCATGGGGTGAGGGAGGAGTAGGGGAGAAAGAGCAAGGCAAGCACAGCTGCTCGGAGTCCTTCTGGGTGCCCAGGAGGCCCTGGGCTCCAGGTCCTTCACTGCTCAATCCCAATGTTTAGAGTCTAATTCCCAGATTTCCTGTTTCCGGGCAGAGCCAGAGCCAATGCTGGGCTGTGCCAGGTGCCTGCTCAGCTCGCACCTCTTGGACTGAAACCTGGAATCTCATCAGCAAACCCGTCCGTTTGGTTTGCCTTGGAAAAGCGCACCCTCTGCAGCCTCACAGAGCTGGTGCCTCAGGGATGTGCACGCGGCAGCCATGCCCGAGGGAACCCCAGCAGGAAAGGTGCCCCCAAGTCTCCACTCATGCACCACACACATCCCAGGAGAAAGCCCAGCCCCAAAGCCTGCCCTGGGGACAGAGCCCAGGGCAGCCCCAGCTCTCTGACATTTGCACCAGCCTCCTTGGTCTCAGCCTTCTCCAGCCAAGCAGGGAGCTGGTGTTTCTCTTACCCATGGCGAGGTGCGCCCTCACCCCTGCTGGCCAGCCCCACCGGCTCTATATCCCCATGGAGTCCTAGACCCTCTCTCCCCTGTGCCAGCTTGGATCTATCCTTGTGCCATTTGGTCAACAAAGTCCCTTCCTATCTTGTCCTAACATGAGTCTTGCAGAGAACCAATTTCCCAACACACCTCCAGAGGCCCTCGAAAGAGGGTAGTGGCTGAATTCTAGGAGCTGTTCTGGAGCTGAACTGCATGGGATCTAGTCACTGGGTGTGCGAGTGAGAGTAAATCTCCATTGGGCAGTGTGTTAGTTTTCTAGGGCTGCTATAACGAAGTGCCACAAACTGGAGAGCTTAAACAACAGAAATGTGTTGTCTTAGAATTCTGGAGGCCAGAAGTCCATGATCGAGGCATCAGCGAGGTTGGTCTTTTTCTGGGGACTCTGAGAGAATCTGTTTTAGGCCTTTCCCCTGGCCTCTATTGGTTTGCTGGCAATCTCTGGTGCTCCTTGGCCTGCAAAAGCATCACTTGATCTCTGCCTTTATATTCATATAGTGATCTCCCTGTGAGCCTGTCTCTGTGTCCAGATTTCCCCTTTTATAAGAACAGCAGTTATGTTGAATTAGGACCCACTCTAAGGACCTCATCTTAACTCAACTGAGTTAAGTTACATCTGCAATGACCCTATTTCCAAATACAGTCACATTCTGAGGTACTGGGGTTAGAACTTCAACATATGAATTTAGGGGGACACAATTTAACCCATATCAGGTAGATGAATGGTAGTTCCAGTCACAGAGCTAGGCCTGGGAGAGGAGCAGACTGGAGTGTGGGAGAGGAGAAGGGGTGTGTTTTAGATGGTGTATTAGGGGTGCCTGTGGCCTTTGGGTCATCAGGAGGGAATCAGCAGCTTGGTAGAGACATGCAAATGTCGTCCTTGGTGAAAATGATACAGTTCGTTATTGGAAGAGTTGAATCGTGCTGCTCTGAATATTCACGTATAGGTTTTTCTCTGAATACTTGTCTACAGTTCTTCTGGTGACTAGGGGTGCCTGCCCTGGGGACAGAGCCTAGGAGCAGAATTGCTGAGTCATATGGTTGTTACCTGTTGTTTTCATTGCAAAACTCCCTTGGCTGTAAGTATATTGCATTTTGAGGATATTAAAAAAATGTTTGCATTGTATGCTTTGGTTTTTCTGTTGATACGCCAAGAACTCTGCCCTGGAACAGGCTGGCCTTTGCAAATTGGTGTGTTTGGTGTTTTGGAAAGGGGATCACTGTTTATAATTTCTTATCATGCGATGACAGAATAACTCCCTGTCTAAAAGCAAGATTTCGAGAGGCCAGGACACCGTCTGACCTTTTCCCAACACTATTATGTCAGGTGAATGAAAAGTCCAGGATAAAAATGCATGAAAGTTTCCCCAAATTTGTTTTGCTGTGGCCTATCAGCATCATTTCCTGTGCAATGAGGACTTTATGTAATGAGCTGTGGAAGCGGTGTGGTGACAGGTCCCGGGAGACATCTCCCACCGGAACACTTGGGTTTTCATCCTGGCTGTACCACTTACTGGTTGTGAAAACTCTTTTCTTAATCCTCCCCATGCCTCAGTTTCCCCATCTCTAAAACGGGCCAATAATAGTTACCATTTACCCCTCTGTAAAATGGGGCTAATGATAGCACTTTTATTATAAGAGTATGAAGTCCTTAGAGCAGTGCCTGGCATGAGGTCAGCACTATAAGACCTTGTTGAAGGTAAATTTACAGATTGGTCCAGATAATTACAATACCTTTAATCAAGATAATAAGTTAATAGTACAAGTTCTTCTAAAGAAGGATCTTGTTGATTTTAGTTTTGACAATAGGAGGCCTGAAGAATATTAAAGAATATTAAAGAATACTTCCCACCACCCCCCAACATAAAGCATATAAAAGCTATTAAAGGAACGCTCTGGGACACTTACTTAATAATTTCAAATACCTAAAAAGATATATTACAAAATTTAAAAACAATTTTACTAATGACAAAGCACAATGTGCTATAAGAATAACAGCCTCCACCTTTTGGCTTTGAACTTAAGATTCAGTTCATTTAACATGTATTCATTCAACAAGTGCTTATTCAGTTACTACAATCTTCCAGACTCACTAATCAATCAGTGCAGAATAGCAAATTCAACAGACATTATCTTCATGGAACTTCCAATGCAGTTTTGGGGAAAGAACTGTATTATTTATGATAATACAATAAGTAATTTAAATTAAATAATGCATATATAGCATTTGGGGGAGTTCCCAACGTTTAGAATGTGTGTAATAAATGTTACCTATGATTATTTATTGTACCAATAATGATTATCATTTATCCAGTTTATTCACCTGTACAAAAAAATCCATCATCTTAAATTAAAGTTGCCTGCCCTCTAGTGGGGACTTTGAGTCATAACCACCCAAACAACTGGGAAAGGTTGAGGGGTTTTGGTGTTTTCTTCTGCTATTTAATGAGCTCTGGCGGGTTGGGATGCCCAGCAAGGTATCAGGCCCCACAAGCCTATAACTTCCTTCAGAGGGCTTCTTTTTGCACGCTTGGTGCTATGCGACCTCACCACCCTCCCTGGGCCCATCTATGACTTGTCAATGACCTATGACGTGGCCTGGGGTAGAAGATCTACTAAATAGGCCTACCCATACAGGAGGGTGACAGGCCCAGCTAATCAGCCTGCAAATAGAGCAAGACCCAGCCAATGAAACAGATGGAAAGTATTTGAACCACGCTGGTGGCAGAGCATCAGGGCCAAGAATGCCTGCTACTGACCAGGCAGGGTTGCTCCCCATTCCCAAAATATCTCAGTAGTGGCTCCAGGCAAGTCCAAGTGGGTTTTGTGACCATTGCCTTGTTCTTATCTTCCCTGAATATCTTTACCATAACCCTGAGTTAATCCACATAGATCCAGTGTCAAAGAGCCTTACCGAAGATGCTTCCAATATGCTGTCCCATTTCATCCCTGCCAGCCTTCTGAGAAACAGGTATTATTACCCCCTTTATAGGGCCTCAGAGAGGTTGTCTGACCTACCCAGGGTGCCACAGCTAATAACTGGCAGCACAGAATTTGCACCCACTTCATTCTGCTATCAGAGCTTGAGTTCCTTCCCAAAACCCATATCCCGTGGTACTGAAACCTGAGTCTAATGGGAGTATGAGATTAGATATTCCTTCACTTTTTATTATTAGCAAAATCCTATTTTAAAAATACCTTGGTTAAACAACTTTAATCAGGTTCTCAGATAGTGTTTTGTATGAGCCATAAAAATAAGTTAATATCCAGGGGAGTACCTGGTAGAGTATGTGACTCGATCTCAGGGCTGTGAGTTCAAGCCCCATGTTGGGTGCGGAGGCTTCTTAAAATAAAAAGTTGAAATAATAATAATAGTAAGTTAAGATCCAGGAACAATTTGATCCCTTGTTCCATAATCTGTAAATTTTCCTTTAATCACCTCATCCTGAATCTGATCATTGACTGAAAAGTCTTCCCTAGCAGTTTGGGCCCACATTCTTGGGGACTGTTTTCTGCTTTATAGTGTGATGGCTGCAGTCCGAACATGTTTAAACTAATTTGGGGGTTCTTGATCCTGACTGCACAGTAAGAATCACTCGAGTAACTTTTTACAGCTTCTTATGCCTGGGCTTCATCCCACACCCACTGGATCCAAATCACAGAAGGAGGGGGCGAGACATTGGTACTTTAAACTTGCCAGGTGCAACCAAAGCCAAGAACCACTGAACTATTTCAATAGTTACTTAACAAGCTGCCTAGCTTTGGAGAAACCTTTTTCTGCTCACAGGCCTGGCAGGTCTGTTTGCAGAGATGCATTTATATGGGAATGCGGGGTGGGGGATGTGGAAGAAGGGAATCTGCTCCAGGTCTCAGTTTCCCTGCTCCGAGCCCTCTGTCCGATCTCAAGACAGGTATGTCCTCTTCACTGCGGCCTGTGAACTCAAGACCTGTTGCAAAGATTTGGGGAAGAAGAGAGAGCCTAATTTCAGAGGCTTCTTGCCCAGACTGACCTGTCAATGTCACCCTGTCAGGTTACCCAGGCCAAGAGCTTCTGCTTAGACTGTGTTGTCCAAGTCCCGTGTCTCTGCTCTGCTGTTCACAAACGACACCGTGGGCCTCTCCATGGCATGTGAATTTGTGCACAGATCCAGTTGTGTGCCCTGAACGTCAAGGATATTTACTGAAAGTCCTACTCTTCTCTGCTTCCGTTCCTACTGTTTCTAGTCTTACATCTGTGGCTTTTTGGAAAATGACTTTTGGATCCCAGCAGGTTTGGCTGATGACCCCTGGGCTTACAGAAATCACGTGAACTAGTCAGGTGAGAGTTGCTCAATTTGGCCTCACTTCCCTGTCAAGTTTTGACATCTGACTCTTTGTGATATTGTATTTATTTCTGATATGTATTTTAATGGGCTATTTCTGTGTTTGGGTGGATTTGGAGAGGTGATAAGGGCAAGAACACAAAGGCTTTTGAGACCTGAAGTCAGGTTAAACATTTGCTGGAACCTTTCATCTCCTGGAATTTCTCTTTCCATGCCTCCTGGGCTGCTTAGTTCTTTCTCCTCAGAATTTCTGGGTAGAGACAGGCCTGGGTGGCCTCCCCACTTCCTCAATGGTGAATCACTAAAGAATAAGCCTTTGATGAGTCTCTAGCTTCTGTGCCCCCAAATAGAAATACCAGTCAGTAGATTCATATCTAGAAGATATAAAGAACTACAAGCCACAAGAAAACATAGACATTTAATACAGACATAGTCAAAAGACAGGTACTTCAAAAAAGAGGCCAGTAAGCATATGGAAAGATGCTCAATCTCCGTAACACTGAAGTCAATAACAGGGCTTTTTATAATAGACTTAAAAGGAATGAAATATTCACATCAACTTTCCTGGTTTCTTCTGGTAGTTCAATAATACATCTAATAACTGCTAGTTGAATTGACATTTGTCCTTGTCATCATCCAATTGAACTGAATATAAATTTCTCATTTGAACCTATTACGATCATTTCTTCTATGTATAAATTCCATTTTTAATTTTTCTTCCTGGATAATAATCCTCCATCTCATTGTTTTATTCTAGCACCTAGTCTCAAAATCATTTATACTACTTTCCATTATTTTCTGTAGCTATTGTGCAGTCAGCTAAGCAAAGATGCTTAGCCAGGACACACAATTCTTGGCTTAGTGCTGGTGTGTTGTTTTTTTTTAGAGGAGCTTCGAGCCACTACCCTATGTCAGCATTGACCTGTCTGTTTGGTATCATCCATTGTTCACGACCTTTTCTTCTCCCGGTTCTGACAGTTCTGTACGTGCTTCTTTTGATGGGCAAGTGATGTTTCATATCGCTTTCGTGGAGAATCTAGTTTACAGTCATACATACCAACATTGGCCAAAGAGAATTCCAAAGACTAGTTGTACACCATGGTGTGGGAGTAATAAAATACTGTTCCGTGAACTGCAAATGTACAAGCCAGTGTCCCCCAGCTTCTTTCTGTGATTTAAAATGTCGGTTTTACTATTCAGATATGATGAGGCCAACGGATCAGGAGCTGTCTGCCATTGGAAAGATAGCTTGTGACTCACAGTCCTCGTGTGAGGGGCAGACCACACCGTGCAAGGACCACATGGGGAAGCACCAGGGTCAGGCAGGGCGTGGAAAGGATGAGGGAAAACGTAGGCAAGTGCCTTTATTGTGGCTTCCACAGGAAGGAGCAGGAGAGGCAGGGCAAACAGGCTGAGGGTCGGTGAGTTTCAACACTGGCAGTGGGCTCCAGGGCCCAGGAACTGTCCCCAGCGGCCTCGTACCCGGTTTCCCCTCCTGGTGATGTCAGGCCTCGGGTTTGGGGTTTCAGAATCTGAGCTGTGGGTTCAGCTCACCCGAGTAGTGAGGGCCCTTCACTCCAACTTTTAGAAACACACCTATGTTTGGTTTTCAGCCCGGAGGAGCAAATGTTGTGCCGGAGGGAGCCAGGTGGAGAAGTCACCTGGAAACCTTAGGCTTCCGTCCTTGTGACACATGGTGGGAATTCACACGATGGATTTTTAAAAAATTTTTATTTTGATTCCAGTGTGGTTAACATACAGGGTTACATTAGTTTCAGGTGTACAATAGAGTGATTCAACAATTCTATACATCACCTGGTGCTCATCATGACAAGTGCCCGCCTTGATCCCCATCACCTGTTTCCCTCATCCCCCCCCCACCCGCCTCCCCTCCGGTAACCATCAGTTTGTTCTCTATAGTTAAGAGTCTGTTTCTTGGTTTGTGTGTCTCTCTCTTTTTTTCCTTTGCTCATTTGTTTCTTAAATTCCACATATGAGTGAAATCATATGGTATTTGTCTTTCTCTGACTTATTTCGCTTAGCATTATACTCTCTGGCTCCATCCATCTTGTTGCAAATCGCAAGATTTCATTCTTTTTTATGGCTGAATAATATTCCATTGTGTGTGTGCATGTATGTATATGTGTATGTATATATACCAAATCTTCTTTATCCATTCATCTATTGACAGACACACTATGGATTTTTAACAAAATATTTTTTTTTTTTTTTTTTTGGCTTTGGAGTGGTAAGGACAGGTGAATCATGTCTCTGAGTGTAAGAGCCTGATTGAGAGGCGGTGAGGTATACAGACTCAAAATTGGTTGGTTTGCATATGACAGTCACTCTCATAGGTGAGTGCTTTACTAACCCTAGGAATTGGCTGGCCCTGGACCAGGCAGTCCTATCAGACTCACTAAGATCCCGCACATTGAAACATCAGGATAAAAAGACGTGCTTAATACACTGTGTTTGAAAGACTTGGTGTTAAATGAAAGACTACATTGTCTACCCCATGTTAACCAGTGGAAAATCATTCCCATTTATCTGAAGCACAGTGTTTTGCTAGAAATAATTTCATGCTATCAAAAGGGTTAGAGACATTTTCCAGTATCATTATCCAACAAACATAGTGACACACCAGAGATTCTGTCCTTTTTGATCAATCTGCTGGTTTTGTGTATATAATTTTATCTCACAAGGTGTAGCCCAGAGTTACATTTACTTCTGAATTATGCATTTGACATGAAGAATTCTCTTTTCCATCTCAGTGTTTTAATTAGTAGCTAAAGAATCATTTACCGGGCGCCTGGGTGGCTCAGATGGTTAAGCGTCTGCCTTCGGCTCAGGTCATGATCCCAGGGTCCTGGGATCAAGTCCCACATCGGGCTTCCAGCTCCTTGGGAGCCTGCTTCTCCCTCTGTTTCTCTCTGTCTCTCATGAATAAATAAATAAATAAAATCTTAAAAAAAAAAAAAGAATCATTTACCAAATAATATGAAGTTGCAAGGATTCAGTCAGACTTGAAGTTCAAGGTGTGGATTTGATCAGAATAATTTTCTTATTAACTTTCCTAAATAATTAAATCTTCACTAATAAATAACTTAGAGTGCCATATTTCTGAATTTATATGGGTTATACTCAATAAAGTCTGCAAACTTTTATTGCTGCTAGTTTTTAAAATTTCAGCAGCCTTCTTATTTGAAAATTCTCTATTTTCCCCTTTCAGTTTTTTTCTCTCCTGTCATCCTGTCATTATTTCTACTAGGATCTTGACTTGAACTCATTTCAATGATCTAAAGGATTAAAAACTAATGTGTGAGGTTTTTAATCAAATGTTCAAATTTTGAATATCTTTTAATCTAAAAATATAAATTAAAAGTTAGAACATTAAAAAATTAGAACATTCTCATGTCTTCAAAAATTATTTTTCTCTAAATATTCTAAATTGCCAGGGGCGCCTGGGTGGTGCGGACAGGTAAGCATCGGACTCATGGTTTCAGCTCAGGTCGTGATCTCAGGGTCATGGGATCGAGCCCCACGTCGGGCTCCCTGCTCAGCGAGAAGTCGGCTTAAGACTGTCTCTCCCTCTCCCTCTGCCCCTCTGCCTCCATGCATGTCGGCACACCTGCACGGCTCTCTCTCTCTCAAATAAATCTTTAAAAATAAATAAATATTCAAAATTGCCTCAAAAATTAAGGGACAAAAATATAGAGAAATTATTCAAAAAGGCCAACATTTTTACTTTATTTGTGAAAACAAATTGTGTTAAATACTTTTATAAAAAACAAAGCCCCACTCTAGTATTCAGTGTCCATCTACTTCCCAATATAAAGAAATATAATTAGTATCACATTTTCACATGTTACATCCAGGCCTGTATGTTTATATACAAGTTCAAGAGTAATATGAATTCTGTAATATTGCAAAATGTTCCTGGGTTGCCCAGGGCCATTGTTGCAAACGCTGTACTACTTGGTGAGAACCTCAGGAACTGAGACTTGAAACACCAAGAGAAACAAGAAGGTTTCTCTAGCATGACCGGTCAATGACACTTTGTATTACAAGAAACAGCCTCCTCCCCGCTGAGAAGAGTTGACGGTGAAGAAGTGATGTTCTTTTCTCTTACCCATTTCTTTTTTTGCTCCGTTCCTCTCTGCACTCTGCAGTTAACGCCTGTCTCCCACATCCACGACAGCCGAAATATGTATTGGCTGAACCAGTTGGAGCTATGACACAAACTCAGAACCGAGGCTGCGTGGAGAGCAATGTATTAGTTCTCTGAAGGTGGTCACATACGCTCTTTCACTGAGGTTCATTCCAGTGCAGGCCTGTTGGCGAATGTATGCACAGATGCCCTCGGGGGCATTTAACACTGCAGTGAAGTCTTACAGTTTTTTCGTCTTGATATTAATGCCTGTAGATAATGATAGAATCCTGTAGGTTCTACCTCCATCGCTTCTCAAAGTTTAGTGTTCTAAGAATCGCCTAGAAAGAGTTTATTTAAAATGCAGATTCCTGGGTCCCACCCCAGAAATTCTGCTTATATAGAGTCTGCATTTGTTGGAAGTGTCCAGACCACACTCTAAGAACCACTGATCTTATAGATCTACACCAGCACCTCCTCTTTAACTCTGTAGTAACGATTCAGATCCTCACCCCCTACCATTTTCTCCCTGCGTAGACTCCTCACTGATACAACCCCTCCAGGACACACCAATGCAGTGATTCTCATTACCAACTGCACATTTCAATCACCCGGAGAACTTTAAAAAATTTCCTGATGATTGGGGCGCCTGGGTGGCTCAGTTGATTAAGCGACTGCCTTCAGCTCAAGTCATGGTCCCAGAGTTCTGGGATCGAGCCCCGCATCAGGCTCCCTGCTCGGCGGGAAGCCTGCTTCTCTTTTTCCCACTCCCCCTGCTTGTGTTCCCTCTCGCTGTCTCTCTCTCTCTCTCTCTGTCAAATAAATAACTAAAATCTTAAAAAAAAATTTCCTGATGCCTCTACCTTGCTCATAGCAATTAAATCAGACTCTGTGGGACTGAGACCCCAGCTACCAGTATAGTTTAAAGCAACCCAGTAAATAGAACTGTGCAGCCAGAGTGGAGAATGACCATTCTCATCATGCACTGCCTCCCTTGGTCTTTCTTACCCTGCCTTAAAATTTTCTAAGGTTCCTTCTTTCCTAGAGCAGAGCTTCCCTGCGGGTATCCGGGCAGAAGGCAAACAGGCCACAGGTGTGGTACGAAACATTGACCTGCCAGTAATCAGGCTGCTCCTGGGCCCACAGGCTCCCACTCTTAAGTATCCTCTCCTACAGCTCCTTGGACGGGAGTTTGAGTTGAGTTGCATTTGCTTTTTTCTCCAGGACCTTGCGCTTTCTGCTGCCCACTGTAGATGAGGTCCCCACTGAGTGCAGAAGGAGAACATGGCCCAGGTGCCCAGGAACCTCAACCCCAAGGTATGGCTGCTTGGGGAAGGGGTGTTGTGTGAACTGGGGTGGGTGGAAAGCCCATCTGCAAGCAGTGGTCCCCCAAATCTCTGTCATCATGTATATTTGATTCTTTCACCCAATTGTTACTGATATGCCCTCTCCGTGGTTACAGGTGACTCCTCCAATAGTGTACATGCGTTCTGAAAATTAGTTGCATTATCACTGGGAAAGATTTGATCTAAAAACACGAAACTGGATTTGAAATCTATTGGCATTATCACTGTGTTAACACTGTATTGGGCTATGGAACAAAAGGAACTGTTATTTCTCTTAAACATTTCAGACGGCAGTTGTTAAATTGTTTCAAGTTTTTATCACCTGGGGTGATCAAAGGTTGTTGTTTTAAATTGATGGTTACTAGCTATAATAGGAGGAGGAAACTTGCAAAAGCTTGACCAGGAATTGTGTGTAGCATAATCTATGAAAACAAAAACATTCCCAGATGTTTAAAAGCGGTTATCTACCTGACTTCAAGGTTTCAACAATATCAAAATTATGAACTTCCGTTTACTCAAACACTCCACGAAGGTAACTTGCTGGTCCATTCATTGGATCATGTTGAAAGATGTTCTGAAAAATGCTCATTGAAAGAGCCTGCTCACTTGAAGTGAAACTAGAGGCCACTAAGCCTGATCCCACTAGCTCTTGCACAGCTAATGATCACTCCAGAGGCTTCCTGTTCCTGAGCGCCAGACAAGGACTGGAAGTGGTTTCCGGGCACAGTGAGCTCCGTAGCGTTGTGTTTGGTACCACAGGTCAGGGATAATGGTAGTCATGGGAGAAAGAGGAAATGGGGCCAGGGGACATTCTCAATTCTTGACATGAGATTTTTTTTTAAATGTTAAATGACAATACTATTTTAAAAATCCACAAAGTGGGTGAAAAGTCACCAGCTGAAAAAACACTTGTGACATAAAATCAATAAAAGGCTAGCATCCAGAATGGACAAAGAATGCTGAAAAATCAGGATGAACAATCAATAGAAAAATAGAGGAAAAGACTTGGATAGGTGCTTCACAAGAGAAAATCTGAGTATCCAATAAGCATGGTGAAAATGCTCAACATCATTAATCAGGAATGCAAAATAAAATCAAAATAGGATTACACATCCACTAAGTTGGATTTAATTTGAATTTAGAGGTCTGAGTATACTAAATTGGGGAGTATGTGGAGTAACAAACTTATTCCTGTAGTACCTAGTAAAACTGGCATTCAATAAGCTTAAGCAAATTCATACTTGACTCAACACGTGGTCCACGGACCAGCAGCATTTGCATCACCTGAGGGCTTGTTAGAACTGCGGAATCACAGCCCCACCAAATCAGAATCGGCATCTTAACAAGATCATGTACACAATAATGTTTAAGAAGCATCGCTCTGTGACTCAGTGATTTCACTCCATGCCTATTCCTTAACCTTGTTCATGACAGCATTGTCTGTAAACAAAAACTGAGACTAATCCTAATCCACCGACAGTGGAATGGACAGAGAACTTATGGTGTAGCCATAGAATGTATTACTATACGGTCAGGAGGACCAATGAACTACAACTGCATATTCACACGGATGACATTCACATGCATGAAGGTAAGGGCAAGAAACAGAATGGTGATTCCATTTATCTTTGTGCATGTGTTTTGTATATCCTCTGTATTTCACAAGCCTTTTAAGTGGTGTTCATGGAAACAAAGCTTGAAGTTTTACTTTAAAAAATTAGGATCTTTTTGAGGGAAGTTGTATACAAATTCTGTATTATCTTTCCTAATTGTTTGTCCTGGGGTTTTGTATGAATGACTTCAAATAAGTTAGCATTTCACTAAGGCACATATAGATGTCCCCAAATCCTCTCACTTTAACCCAGTAAGCTGCTCAAATATTTTATGTACTGTGACCTAACGTAAAACCTTGTGAGGCAGGGACCCAGAGGCCACATATTTCAAAGGCCTTCAAGGTCCCAGCCTTCCCTTGCAGCTTTCTTTGCTCTACTTCAAATTCTAGCCATTGGATCACTTGCCTTTCTCCAAAGACCCTGCCATGCCACTATTAGAATGCCCTGGATGCTCTTCTTTCTTTCCTCTGGGCTTTGATAAAACACCACCACCAAAAGAATTTCTGATTTCCTAGACTAATTATTCTTTCACAACACTTCATGATCTGATCAAGTCATGTTTCATTGTTTTGACCTGTTTTTCCTCTGCTAGACTATGAACAACTCTAGAGCTGTGTGCCATATTACAACTTATAGGGGAGCCTGGGTGTCACGATTGGTTAAGTGGCCAACTCTTGGTTTCAGCTCAGGTCGTGATCTCTGGGTCTTGTTGGACTCTGCGCTCAGCAGGGAGTCTGCTTCCCTTCTCCCTCTGCCCCTTCCCCGCACTCACGTGTGAGCACTCTCTCTCTCTTCAAATAGATCTTTAAAATCTTTTTAAATAGGGCGCCTGGGTGGCTCAGTTGGTTAAGCAACTGCCTTCAGCTCAGGTCATGATCCCGGAGTCCCTGGATCGAGTCCTGCATCGGGCTCCCTGCTCGGCAGGGTGTCTGCTTCTCCCTCTGACCCTCCCCCCTCTCATGTGCGCTCTCTCAAATAAATAAAATCTTTAAAAAAAATGAAATATTTTTAAATAAATTATATATGCCTCTAACAATATTTGCCTTTTCATGACCTCCTTTTATATTCTGTGGAGTTGTAAGTCCAATATTCATCTTTATTATTACATGAATTTGGTAACAAGTGAAAAGTGCTTACCATTATTTCTAGATTCATTAGTCATCCACTCTGAGGACAACAGAATCTTCTATGACATTCAAGTATACCGTTACTGAAATTTTTATAAGCTAGCCTGTAGCTTTAATATTAAAGGGGTTAGCATTAACTCCCCTATATGTAAAGCTAACAAGGTATTCTTCAAGCTATGAAGCATCTCTACACTTGGTCCATAACAAAGCAACCAACCTTAGCAGCTGAAGTTTTGTTTTGAAGGTTGGCAAGAAAGGGCTTTAGAGCTGTACAAATGGGAAGAAGAAATACCTTGATGTTTATGTTCATCTCCTAAAATTCTTCCGAAGTGTGTGTGTTTGGAGGGGTGGATAGGGTAAACGTCCCCTGTAACAATTTGGACCTTTGTCCATCTCCTTCTAAGACAATCATAATGAATTTCTGTCAGGCTCCAAACCCCCGTTGACCATAATCACTGCCAAAAGTCCAAGCTTCAACTAGTCTCCTGTTATCCCCCGGCCATATTACCCTCCCCTAAACCTTCGCCGCACATCAGATCTTCTGGTGTCCAGGCAACACCTAAGTCTAGTGAAAATCTCTGGAGGTGGAAGCATTACTTTTTTTTTTTTTAAGAGCTTTAATTATTTCTGCTACTTATTTTTTAACTGAAATCTAGTTGACACACTGCATTAGTTTCGGGTGGTACATCTAGTGATTTGACAAGTCCATACATTGTGCTAAGGTCATCACAAATGTAGCTACCATCTGTCACCATACAACACTATTACAATACCATTGACTATATTCTCTGTGCTGTACCTTTCATCCCTGTGACTTATTCCATAACTGGAAGCTTGTACCTTCCTTTCAACTCCCCACCCCCCCCTTTTTTTTTTAAGATTTTATTCGACAGAGAGACAGCGAGAGAGGGAACACAAGCAGGGGGAGTGGGAGTGGGAGAGGGAGAAGCAGGCTTCCCCCTGAGCAGGGAGCCCGATGCGGGGCTCGATCCCAGGACCCTGGGATCGTGAC